GGGGGAAAATCACAAAAAAACCTTTAAATTATGGGAAGCATTTGGTTTGCAAAAGCAAGTTTAAAACACAGACACACACACACACACACACACAAAACAAAAAAACTCACTGCATTTATCTCTGAATAGTTACAGTGTGGGGGACTTTTATTTTGTTTTGGTGCTTTGTTATAGTTTTTATTTTTTTCATTTAATATAAGTATGTATTGCCTTTGGAATCAAAATTTTAACCACACCGTGTGTTTTTCTAGACACACGAAGTGGTTGTGGTTTTTAAAAATATATATTTGTATTGATTTCAGAGAGGAAGGGAGAGGGAGAGGGAGATAGAAACATCCATGATGAGAGAGAATCATTGACCAGCTGCCTCCTGCACACCCCACACTGGGGATAGAGCCTGCAACCCGGGCATATGGCCTGACCGGGAATCAAACCGTGACCTCCTGGTCCATAGGTCGATGCTCAACCACTGAGCCATGCCAGCCTGCCGGATGTGAGTTTTTTTAAGTTGTCGGTGTTTTGGAGAACTGTCTGAGGTTTTCCTTGAACTGATGCTGACTCCAGGCAGGTTATAGTGGGCACCAGGCAGATCCCGGTAGGCTCCGGTTTTTCCTTTGTATCATAACACATTAGGTTCTCAACACATCCAAGCAGCGCCAAAGGCTTGGAGGGTGTCTGTTCCACTTCAGCAGAGCAGCCCTAGCTCCAGCCTCCCTCCTGCTTGGCTTTTTCTCCACTCAAGTCCTTCTTAGCTACATCATCCCATCTCTATGTGTTTTCACTGCCCATCATTTCCATAGTCACATCTGTGTTCAAGCCGCTCATGCTGGAAAAACATAACTAAAAAGCAGTTTTTATAATTAAAATCTTAACATTTTGTTTTCTTTTTCTTCTATTGTTTTCAATGGCCCCAAAATTCCTGGGTTCCAACAGAAAACAGGCCACTGAAATCAAGGATTCCAAGAGCTGCAGGAAGACACCCTTGCCGGTGGCATCTTCAGCCAATGTGATTGTACCGATGAGAGCCATGTTGAGCCACAGCCTCTGGGAACAAGAGAATCCAGACGAGTGCTTACCACAGGCTCCTGTAGCCAGTTCCCTAGGAGAGAACTTACTGGGACCCTGACAACTGCCCAAACGGGTGATCTTCCTGGCTTTAGTCAGCGCACTGGCTACAGCCTCCCATCATGCTATGCTGTTTTCCCACCGTGGGCCAATGACCATGGGAGAAGTAAGGTGGTGTTTAAAACAAGGTGCTCCTATACTTCCACCAATAAACCTCCAAGTGGACCCCTAATTGTTGTGGGTTGTGCTATGGCTGGGGTCGGGTGGGGTCGGGTGGGGGAGGGGGGGTTTGCAGAGAAGGACTGATTGGGAGCAGGAGCTCACTCTGTGGGAAAATAAGTGGGGAAAAGTTCCTTCTGTTCAATTAAAATCCCACAGCAGTCGAGCAAAGTCAAGAAAGCCAGTCCAGAGGAAATGGCCAGGCGAGATATCCAACTTTCTCTTTCAAAGGGGGAGGGGACAACAGGCAGGGCTGCTCCAAATCCAAAGTGAAAGAAACCCTCAGCCCTGGCCCATGTTGCTCAGTGGTTAGAGCATCGAAGGGTTGCAGGGGTTTTATTTTGTTTTAATCCTCACATGAGGATATTTTTCCATTGATTTTTAGAGAGAGTGGAAGAAAGAGAAATATCCATATGTGAGAAACACATTGATTAGTTGTCTCCTGCATGCACCCCCACCAGGACCCAGGCTAGGGTGGAGCCTGCAACTGAGGTACGTGCCCTTGACTTGAATCAAACCCGGGACCCTCTGGTCCATAGTTGGACGCTCTATCCACTGAGCCAAACTGGCTAGGGCGATTGCAGGTTTGATTCCTGGTCAAGGGCATGTACCTGGGTTTCATGTTTGCTCCCCGCTCCTAGTCAGGCGCACAGTAAGCAACCAATGTCTCTCACATCGATGTTTTCCTCTCCCCTCTCTCCCTTCCACTCTCTTTGAAAAACAGTGGAAAAATTATCCTCAGGTGAGGATTAACAAACAAACAAAAAGAAAGAAAGGAAAGAAATCTTCAGAATGATGGCGGCCAACTGGGAAATACCTTTGTGTTGCTCCACTCACTTAAGCAAGAAATTGAGTTTTTACTGCCCCACTGTAAAGCTATGAAGGCTTACCCTGGGCCATGCAAACTTCGGTTGCTAAGGAAGACATGGCTTCAGGTAAGGAAGATGGTGACACCCATCTCTGGGAGTCCTGTTGGCAAACCGGAAAACACAGTGTCGGTGCACATCAGGGATAAGGCAGGGGCTTGGGCCAACCTCTAGACCAGTGATGGCAAACCTTTTGAGCTCGGCGTGTCAGCATTTTGAAAAACCCTAACTTAACTCTGGTGCCGTGTCACATATAGAAATTTTTTGGTATTTGCAACCATAGTAAAACAAAGACTTATATTTTTGATATTTATTTTATATATTTAAATGCCATTTAACAAAGAAAAATCAACCAAAAAAATGAGTTCGCGTATCATCTCTGACACGTGTGTCATAGGTTCACCATCATTGCTCTAGACAAACGGGGAATATTTACCTGAAAAATACTACCACCACATTGAGCATGCATTTATAAAGTTCCTACTAGGTACCAGACACTGCACTGGATGCCTGGTATAGTAGAGAGAACAAGACAGATGGACAAGTGTCCTGCCGTTAGGGAGTGTAGGGGAGAGATATCAAGCTCTAGTTTGGAGACACAGGAAGGCCATGAAGGTTGACATTAAGGTTGAGCCATTCGGCCTGCAGATCAAGGTGGACTTGCTTTGCTATGGTTCACACTGTAGGAAAGAGAGTGATGGAGGGAGAAGGCACATGACTGCCCTCCCCTGTGCATTTTCAGTTGGGCTGACTAGTACATCCTGGCTAGATTGGGTCAGAAAAACACTGCAGCTGAGAGGGTTCCTAATGTGTGTGGGCTTCTTCCTGCTTCTAATAAAAATAAAAACAAAACAAAAAATTGTTTGCATGTTACAGTCAAATAAGCTGGGCATTGTTGGTGCTGGTGAGAGACACTGGAAGCTGAACTTAGAAGCGGCTAATGGTTTCCGGGGGGTTGGCCAGTGACATGCCCAGACAGGAGGTCAGAGGGAGAGGGAAACGTGGGACCCAGACTATTATTCCCTCCCTTGTAGCCGCATGAGGCTGGCTGTGGCCCTTAACAGAAGAAAACTGCTCCTCTTGAGGTAACCTCTTCCAGTCAACTCTCTCTTTCCTAGTTCCACTAACCATGCCCTTCTGTTGCCCTTCAGTGTTCTAGCCTGCATCTTGGGGATGCCAAGGGATTCACTAGTAACGTTTTAGTACCACCGGTCATAAGGGCTCTCATCTTCAGTAAGGATCCTGTCAGGTCCCTTTAGCCAGAATCCCCCTGATCCCTGATGTTTCCTCTTGGTCATTTTCCATCCACTGCCCCCCACTTGGCTCCTTAGCTAGAAATTCCCACTTGTCCGTGCTGTGATTGGAGTTGAGCCCTATGGACTTCGATGATACTTTTTAGCCTCCTTTCCTATCTCCACTTTCTCCTACTCCCACCTGCTCCTGGAGGCTCCTTTGCTCTGCTGGTCCCACACCTTCTCCCTGTCTCCAGGGAAGCAAGGCCCTAGCACCATCACTTGTGCCCCAGCACAGTCCCAGTGGTGCCATCACCTACCCTGGGGCTCTCTGCCACTCTCCCCAGGACCACTGGGACATCCTGTTAGTTCCGCCCTCACTCCCCCTCACTTCTCGTCTCCAATCTCTAAGGACGTCTGTGCAGTGAGAACCCGGCCCTGCTCCCTCCTGACAGTCTTCTCGTTGGGGGTGTACCCTGTTTTCATGGAGTAATCTTTGTCAGTTCGGCCTAAAACTCTGAAAAACGGCTCGCCCAGCTGAGCCTTTCTGCCTCTGCTGAGACAATGCTGCGATCGGCCGGGGCTTCTACATTTGAAGATTTTTCTTACTCTTGTTTTCCCTGAGCTGATTACTCATTCCCTGACCTGCCTGCCTCAGTTTGGTAGAGGTGGTGTGTTAATTTATGAGAAGATACACAATTAAATTAAATAGCTGTCTTTTTTTATATATGTTCGTTGATTTTTAGAGAGAGAGGAAGGGAGAGGGTTAGAGAGAGAAACATCAATACATCAATCAGCTGCCTCCTGCACGCCCCCTGCTGGGGATCCAGCCTGTAGCCCAGGCATGTGCCCTGACTGGGAATCCAGCAGGTGATCTCTTGGTTCCTGGGTCCAGCGCAACCACTGAGCAACACCAGCAGGGCTTAACTAGCTTCCTTTTTCCATTATGAGGCCATACCCAGACTTGAGATGTGCAGGAGGCAGCTGATGGGTGTTTCTCTCTCATCGATGTTTCTAGCTTTCTATATCTCTCCCTTTCTCTCTGTGGAAAATCAATAAAAATATATTTTTTTTTTTAAAAAAAAAAGACTGTTTAAAAAAAAAAAAAGATTATTCTGTCTTCCACAGGAGGCCTACACACAGCTTTGGGCTTGCTGGCATGGTAAGACTCGAATCCGTCTGGGGATCAGGCAACAGTAGAACCAGCACAGGGAAGATCTGTTCTCAGGGAGCCCAAAACACCCTGCTGGAGAGCCTGCAACTTTCTGTTTATTTTTTAAATATATTTTTATTGACTTCATAGAGGAATGGAAAGGGAGAGAGAAACATCAATGATGAGAGAGTCATTGATTGGCTGCCTCCTGCACACCCCACACTGGGGATCGAGCCTGCAACCTGGGCCTATGCCCTGACTGGGAATTGAACCCTGACCTCCTGGTTCACAGGTCGATGCTCAACCAGAGCCACGCCGGCTGGGAAAGGCCTGCAGCCTCCTGTGTGGAAGCTTGGACCGCGCTCCCGGGAAGAAAGGACTAGACATCCTTTTCTGGGAGTGGGGCCGGAGGAAGCTGCAGGAAGCTTGGGCGTGGGAGGGGGCCTCTGGCCCGCCACGCAGAGTGCACTTCCGGACACAGGCAGGAGGCTTGTCCTCTCCCAGAGGTTGCATTGTCCCCAAGCCGGAACCCATCATGTTCCTGCAGGGCTAAAGGGACCGTAGCTCGCTGTGTGAGTTTAATGTTCCCTCCTGGCTTATGATTTGACAGTGGTTCGCGGTGTCTGCTTTCTCCCCCAACCTCTCGCAGCCTCTAGTAATTCCTGAGAAGTTCCAGCATCTTTGCGAGCACTCAACCCCAATATGGATGGGCAGCGGAAAATAGCCTCTGCCGGCACTCCAATTACGGTAAAGCCGGTAAGGAGTGGAGAACATAAATGAAACTTAGGTTAAGACCTAAGCAGTAAGTGAGACAAGGTTGAGGAAACCTAAATCCCAACCAGAGCACCTCAGCTGCTGGGTAATCCCCTAACCCAGGGGTTGGCAAACTCATTGGTCAACAGAACCAAATACCAACAGTACAACGATTGAAATTTCTTTTGAGAGCCAATTTTTTTAAACTTAAACTATATATGGGTAGGTACATTGTTATTAACTTAATTAGGGTGTTCCTAAGGCTTAGGAAGAGCCACACTCAAGGGGCCAAAGAGCCGCATGTGGCTCCCAAGTGGCAGTTTGCCCCAGGGTTCTAATACGTACATTGAAGCCTCCCCGTGATTGGCAGGTGAATGGATGGGATGGATCCTGGATCAAGGCTGAAAAAGAGGCAGCTCTGGGATTTTTTTGTGTCAACCTATGAACCAGGAGGTCATGGTTTGATTCCCAGTCAGGGCACACGCCCAGATTGGGGGCTTAATCCCCAATAGGTGGTGTGTAGGATGCAGCCAATCAATGATTCTCTCTCATCATTGATGTTTCTCTCTCTCTCTACCTCTCCCTTCCTCTCTGAAGTCAATAAAAATATATTAAAAATAAAAAATGTTTTTACTGATTTTAGAGAGAGAGGAAGGGAGAGGGATAGAGATATAGGAACATCGGTGAGTGAGAAACATCCCTTTCTCTTCCACTCTCCCTAAAAATCAATGGAAAATATCCTTGGGTGAAGATTAACAAAACAAACAAAAGAAAAGTTTTAAAAAGAAGAAAAAAAAGAGGTTGGTGAAGGGAGATACCCAAGTTTACTGTATTTACCGTGGATGCCTGAGGGAGTAATTCTGTGACAGGGCCTCTTTACAGAGATTGCTGATTATCCACTGATATCCTTCATCCTTAAATAATAAATAATAGAATTCCTCAGTGCAAGATGGGCTCATGGTCACCCAGGTAAAAGCTATGTTTCCCAGCTTTCC